GAACTGGCATCAACTCTGAGGAATCAGATTTCATCATGGAACTGCCTCCGATCCCTGCAAGGAGAACTGTAGGTCTTTTCCAGCGGAGCTATTCAGCTCCACTCGAAAGAAGAACGCAGGCATGTTTGTTTTTCTTCTCAGTCCATTTTGGTTTATGCGCTTGTGGAATAGGAATTTATTTGGTATGTGTACCAGGGCTCATTTTCAAATCTAAAATCCAACCAAAGACAGCTGACATTGCCTTGAAAATTGCTCGAAAAAATAGCGTAAATTAATACTTGAAATTAATAGTTTATACGATTGACATGCGTCTCATGTGTCAATTTTATGAAATTTTCGGTTTAATTCTCACATTATCTGCCTTGTTCACCTTATGAATAGATAAATAAATGAATCTCATGACATACCTAAAAAAAGGATGAGCTCAGGGAAATTGCGTTAATTGCAATGTTGGTTAATTGGTCGGCCTATTCCGATTTCATAGAAGATTCCCAAGATTTTCTTATATGAACTGCTGCGTTATCTATTGTTCTGCATGAAGCACTATGGTTTTTCTTTCGACGAGGTCATATCCTTGTTATGGAGATGTTATCCAAGAAGATATATTCACTACCATCGGCTAACTTTTTAGCAACCAATGACACATTCAGATTCTGATGGTTTATGGGTCCGTTTTGTACACTTGAGTTTGCTCTTAATGTTGACTTTTTCAGCCATCGGCGGTGCCATGCTCTGGCCTTCCTATTCAGCCATCCGTATTGGACTCTTCTTGTGCGGTTGTTCGCAATCCATCTACGTTGTCCAATAGACCTCATTCGACTACTGTGATCAATAAGTGAGGATTTTTGTCATTCTTCTTATGGTTAAGGTAGGTTGTAAGAAACCCTGCAAGGCCTGCATGTTCCGCTCTGTGGGTATTGGACACTTCGCAGTTCTCTCTGGTGTTTTGAGCTACTTTATGTTTGTATCTTACTGTAATGAACGCTTTTGATGTTTCGAATGGGTCATTCGATTTGAGGCCCACGATTTTTTTTAATGTAAGAGCAACCTATTCCAAGTTTATGGTTAGTACTGAAAAGGGAACTCGATATAAGTGTCTCTTTTCCCGTTTAAAATTTGAATAATACCGTTTTATGGTCTTTCCGAATAAGTATTTGGGAAGAAAAACGTATAAGGTATTCGGTAAATTTCCGTAAGGGTAATATTTTTCTTAAATGCCCAGACATCTGCAACCGTTTGAATACCATCTTCAAGACACTCCACACGCAAAACCATCGTCAATGTCTATTGTTGTGACTGTAAGATAGAATCGACTGCATTTTGAAGCAGGGCCCAGCTTACGACGGCGAATGTTTCTATCGGAGCAATGACATCACCATCCTTTCGAATTGAAATAGCTGAAAGTTTCAGTCGACGCCTTGTACATACACCTTCACGCGCCGATCCAATGGCCCATTCGTCTATTGAATGTAGCACAACGACCACACAGCCGGCCACAAATTGTGTTGTGGAGGAACCGCGACCATCAAGGGAATCGATATTGGAGAAATTGATACGATTCTTCCGAAATCGTCCCAGTGTCGATTCTTTGAAAGAGAAGGGAATTTATAAGCGTGAGTTCATTTTGAATGCAACGAATTTGGCTATTCGTGTTCTATAGATTAAGGGTTTTCTTCAGATGAGCCTGTGTTTGGCAGCACGCTATCGGCGATATGCCAGCTGGAGAACAGCTTGGTGCCCAAATTTATTCGTGTGGTCACAGAATTGATTGAAAGCAGAGGAATGGAGGTTGATGGGCTATACAGGTTAGCGTGTCAATGTGGTGGATTTATATTATACTTTCTTGTTTTTAATTCAATTACAACTCGAGCACGGTGACGCCATTTGTGACGTTATACACGGGGACAGTAAGTAGCGCCCCAATTGCTTTGTCTGTTGGTATCAAGAAGGCACTCTATGGCTGACCAGGTCGGAACAATTTTGTCAAATCTTTGAAACAATTTTTCTATAAGGTAAGGTACCCTGGGGTTGGGGAGGATTGAACCCGGCCCCAGGCTACCTTACTTGACAAAAAAATTGTTTCAAAAATCCTAAATTAATTTGTTTTTAACGATATTGATGTGACTTTTGATGATGGTTTCCATTTATGTGCTGCTTGGACTTTGACCGATATACATAATTGATGTAGGCCTTATCAGCGACCTCCAGTTGGGAGACAGAAATGAAATGAGATTTTTCGTCCCAAACCCTTGTGGTGGAGGATTGAATCGACTCTTTTGGTCTAGATTCGAGAGGGTTGTGACACTATTTGCGCCATGTGTTATGGCAGAGCGGTTAGGGTGTGTGCCACTAGGGCACACTCCGAGGACTCGGATCCCTTTTAGAACGGAAGGCACCGGTTTTGCGCCGTTGCTATGTTATAGAATGTCCATCACTAGAGACCAGTACTTCCTGACTTCTTATTACGACATTCAATTTTGGCCGAGTTGACACGGTATAGTAGTAGTGAATGTGATAGTTGCCGCCACCCCTCCATTCACTATTACCGGTGCCACTCGTTCAATAGGCAAATCGAAGCAAGCTTCTTATTTGGCTCTTGGATTTTTATATATTTTTTTGTTATTTGAATGTGGATATATTTATTATGTCTTTTACACATGTCCTAGATTATATGAGATTAGGTTGCACCGTAAATTACTCTTTAATATTGCAGTCGTCATGGTCTGCAATATGCATTAAAACCAATATTGTAAAAAATGAAATAAAATTGTAAAATATTTTAGAGTGAGTGGAAATTTGTCGGCAGTGCAACGAATTCGTTGTCAAGTTGATCAAGGTCAGTATGACAACGGTCGTAAGATGTTTTCGAAACAGCGGTTCCAAGAGCAAAATTATCTTATTTCAGACAAGTACAATGCACTAGTAAATGAGGAAGATGTCCATGTGTTGACAGGCGCACTGAAGCTGTTTTTTCGTGAGCTCGCTGAGCCAGTGTTTCCACTCTCAATGACGAAAGATTATCTGAACGCCATTAGTGAGTTGTTTGATTGTAAAAGTTTGTTTTGTGATCTGTCGCTCTCAACTTATTGGTATGAGAGATGCCTGCTGGCTGAAATTGTTGAATTTCTTGTAGGAGGAAGGCTTGAGGCTTTTTTCCCGTGGGAAATGTCGTCTAGTTACCGTATCGATGTGGTGCTTAGAGTCATATTCAGCAGAAATCAGAGAAGTGTGGGAAATTTTTTAGGTGGAGAGAGGGGATCCAGGGAGAGGGGAGGTGGGAGAGAAGGGCTGGTCTAATGGTTAGCTAGGGTATGCTTCAATGACATCGTTGTTTTTTCGTGGATACGTTTGGAGGTGTCCATTCATTGTGGGAACAGTGAAGTAGAATTTTGGATATTTTTGTAGGGGTTAGTTTTTTCGCTCACGAGGTTTTGGAGTAGAAAATTTGTTACGGCGACGACTTGTTCATACTTTCACTATCGGTGAGATGTGTTAAAACAAGACTGGAATGTTCACCGTTCCTTCCCTCATTCAATTTCATTGCTCAGGAAAAATAGGCGTTCGAGTGACACTGCTATTCTGACTAGAGGTTTGATGCGTGGGGTATCCTAGAAGAATTCGTGCACAACACTTTAAATCTTTCGTTCCTCTCTTTATTGTCATTCATGATCGCTTTTCTAGAATTGCAAAATCCGAGGCAACGTTTCAAGCGATTCGACGAACTTCTTCGAATGCTGCCGGCAGAGAATAGGGAGACACTGAAAATGTTGCTTCGACATTTGCAGAGGTATGGTTCATTTATGGTCGTGCTGTGATATTTTGGTCCAACTTCTTGATTATTGTTTTTATTCATGAAGAGTGTAGAACTTGCCTCATCATGGACGTATTCCTTTAGGGTGGCTTCGCATTCAGACAAGAATCGAATGCAAGTGCACAATCTTGCGATAATGTTTGGTCCAACATTGTTTAACAGTGGTGATGAAAAAACACCGGCGAAGAAAAAGGATGCCGGAAGAAAGAAGAAAGATCACAAGAAGGTATCAGTTGTGCCTTTGATATGGCTTGTCTTGAAGTGATGTTTTGAATGGGGTAGTGGCAAGCGGTGCCGCAACCTGGTTTGGATATCAATTCCCGTTGGGCATTTAGGCCTTCTATCACTCCGGGCCCAATTAACCAGGTGGATGAAAGCACTGATAAAGCCTTGTACGTGGCGCATTCCGAAAATCTGACGGATTAGATAGGAATCACTCAGAACAGATTGCCGAAGTCCATGCGCGCTGTTTCGCTGGACGGTCCCGAATATTTTTAAGTGTCGCTCGCTAAAATGATGTATTGTTTGCAGCTGCCTTTCACGGATTGCTGATCTTGACATTCTTTATCACGTCCTAGTCTGATTTAGTAATTTAATTGTAGTGCTAGTCGTCTTGTTTTAGAAGCCTATTCACTGAACCGAGCTCACTTCATAAGCGCATAGAAATAGAAGGAAACTTATATGGATGGGCTAATGTTGCAGAGGTGTTGTTTGCTAGAGCAGAAAGCGACTTTTTCGCCTTTTGCAGCACGAAAGTTTTTTTTCGCTGCAGGAAACCTAGCTTCACTCGTGGTTAGATGTAGAGTTGGGGTTCTTGTAGCAGAGAAAGTTTAGCGCTGCGAGAAGCGAAAATCGCTTCCTTTCCTGACGGACCATACCCGATGTTGCAGCAGTGCCATTACATGTGCACGTAAATCATGTTTCTTTTACCTCTCACTGGTTCACTTGATCAAATCGTAGCCTGACGAAGCATATTATTAACAATCGAATGTCGAATGTGGTGCATCTTGCTTTGAGTTTCATCGGCGTTGACATCTAGAATTTTTTCCAGGACGGCGCAGCGCGTCTGGAAGTCTGCATTAAATGCTCTAGTTCTCTATACAAAGTTTAATCCTCTACAGAATTGGTCAGAAATTAATTTAATTTTGGATATTGTGGGAAATGAGCATAATTGAAAGGTTAGGAAGACAGTTCGTGCCAGCGCTTGACAGGAGCTAATGAGGCAGTAGCTAGAGGCGCAGATTGCCAAGGTGGGTGAGATCCATGGAATCAATTTCCGATGAGGGAAACTTGGCCAACAGCGCTGGTTATGTGACAGTGGGTGATCAAAAATTAAAACCTTTTCAATGGGTGGCGTAGCTTACCATATGCGCCATTTATTCTTTGGAAACTGCCGCGAGTCGCTATCCTTTTTCACGAAAGACTGTGTCACCAACTAATTTTAAACACTTCCAGGACGAAGCGCCTACAGTGCAATCAAATTCGCACTTGGCCTTCAATATGATCATGCAAGGGCAGATAGTGGAATATCTGCTCACCGAGCACAGCAAATTCGAAGCGTTGCAGGGTCCTGTGCAGACCCATCCACATTGATCGTTTTCACTCCGGCAGCTTTACCGGGTATTATATAGTTTATTCGCTCATGTTCAGAACTGTGTTATGACTGCGTCGCAGCTTATCTAATAGAATTGCTGGTAGGTGGTTTAGGAATGTTCTTCTGCAGTAATTACTTTAAATTTGCATCGTTTTTGTAATGTTCTTACCACCATGTCATTCATTCCTCTTCCTTTATCGCGAGATACATATTTAGTCTTTTCACTTTGGGCTTTGTCAGGTTATACATCTCTATTCGTACTTGTCAACCATTCCCACTACTTTAAGATGTTATCGTTGGTTTTTGATGGTGCAGTTGGCATTTTTTGCGATTCCTTTTGATGTCGTTGGCACTTCACTTTTCTTATGGGAGGGACGGGGGTTAAGTAGATGTAGTGTGGGTCCCAGCTTTATGTAATCAGCTATGGGCAAACTGATGAAAATTGTCATAAATGCCAAAGAACTCGATATGTATCATCTGATCCAAATGGTCTGCTTACTGAGTGATACCATAACTCGTTCGTATGCGTACGAGTTTTCCCTGCTTCACATTTGGACTCTTCTGATAGAGCAGTCGATTTGTTTACAGGTTTTGTGCTAGTTATCCGTTGTCTGTCGTGGCTAGATCTCGTTTGAGGTATGAACTTATTGATTTAAGTTTTCGGTGTTTTATTGTTCTTTTATTTCACGTGTTTCTCTTGGAATACTTACATGCATCTGGTAGCTATTAGTATTTTGATCATCGGAATTTTGTGAAACGATTTTCCTTGATATTGTCGTAGACAGGGGGATATTATGCCTGCTAGCGACAATGTCAAAGTCATTGCATCTCAGCCTGAACTGATGAATTGCAGTGTGCCTTAGGCCAGCGACCATAATTTCTTTGTTATTTTTTTCTGTTTGATACGTTTGTAAGGTGTACAGATGATAGACTATTATTGAATTGATTTATTGAGTGATTCATCATCCTCGTTTATTCTTCGTGCAATTTATTGTCGACGTGTCGAAATCTATCGATTTCAGTCGAGAATCACAAGCATGTCGTTGTAGTTTCTACGCTGAGAATGAAGTTTTATAAGTACATTTGTTGCAGTTCTGAGAGAAAAAGCGGTGGTAAATACTTAGGAAAGCCCGGATTGCTTTGAAGGATTCTGCGATAAGGTAGGAGGTCGAAGAAATATGCCTAATCCTGAAAGCAGGTAGACTTCCCAAGGGTCCTGGCCAAGTGCGTTTCGTAGCGAAAAGGATAGGCCCAGCAAGCTAGTAGGGCCATCACCGTGTCGGCCCGCCACCCCCTTACGCCTACAGGCTGGCTTAAGCACAAGAAAAGTGTGATGGCGCTCAAGAGACAAGACCGATGGGAGTAGCATCAGTGGAAATCAAAGGCAAGAGAAGAAGTATATTTTCTCAGGTTCTGAGTCTTTCTCATGGTTTTTCTTGATCCCTGCCTCACTGACCACCTCTACCTTGATTTGTAATGGGCTGCCCATTCATCGAACTCTGCCTTTAAGTCCCCCATGAGGGATGCGCGCAGTAAGCGAATCTATCGTAATAAAGGAAGGAGCATAGGTCGCTCAGAAACGTCCAACTCTTTATCGTTTAAGTGTATGACGGTTTTTTCGCATAGTAGTCTTTTGAAAGCGATCTGCTGGAGCTCGGGGCCCCACACTCGAACGATATGTCAAACTCTTGGATCTGGTTATACGAAGACACAAAGGTTGTCGGAAAGGATAAACACTCAAAGAGGTTTCAAATTCAGGTTCAAAGGCACATCCCTCGATGCCATTCGGCTCATTGGAATTTTGCCCTTTGAAGGTGGAGTGCTTCGAAAGGGAATGCACTGTAAAACATTACGGTGCAAACTTGCTGGGCAGAAGCCCTAAAGTTTGAGGATGAGAGACGTGGCCTCTCACTCAGGCTCTGCCCATCGGCTAACAGCAGTTAAAGGCAGAGACTGGGATCGAACTGAAGTATTATCGCACTATGGCCAAGGTGTGGAGATGTGAAGTGAACCGCCAGCAGTGGAAAAACGGAATGATACGATTGGCAAGCTCGAGAATAAAACTCTCCAGTCGCAGCAAAGCGAAATAGCACTGATTTGCGGGCGGGCTCAATGGTGCTGGCGAGCTAAATGCTTGCACTCTTGTTTAGCGCCTTGGTCTTGTCAACTCATCAAGGCGAATTTGTAACGTACCTTACACCCGCTTGGGTAGCCACCGCTGCACTTTCTCGGGGACAACCTCATTTTCGACCAGAAATCAGAACCTTGCCTTTAATTACATTACGGCGGGAAGTAAAGAGGAAACCTTGGAAGGAGAGGAAACCAGATCGCGCGTATGCTCGTACACTTGAAGCCATGCGTGAAATTAGAGCGCCATTTTTTGGAAGAATTTTTTGTGCTGCTTTCGTCGCTGAAGTTGTAACTATTACGTATCTACCGCCCTTCCATGTTGAATTTAAAGGAGGATTTTACGATTAGAATGGAGGTCGAGGAAGAAGTAATTCACCTAGTTGAGTAACCCACGGACCTCCTGAGGGTGCGAACTGATGCGCAATTCGCATCGAAAAATTTGACCTCGGCGACCTATTATGCCTCAAAGTTGGCGGGTCTGGCGATCTCCGCCCACCGACCAGCTGATCACTCGCCGCAGATCTATACGTGGATTGATTAGATAGCAGAGAGAGCGTAGATGTTGAAGAGGGCACAGCGATGAGAGTCGCATCAATGCTCAAATCAACGGGCAAGGAAGGGGTCCCATTTCTCGGGTTCTGGGCCGTTTCTCATGGTTTCTTCACCATCCTGCTGAGTTAATTTGAAATGGGTTGCCTCCCAGCGTAAATTCGTCCTTACGACTTGAATCCCATAAGTGTCGTTCAGGCTTGATCACGCCACTATGCTCCAGGTTCCGCTTTCCGTCCGCCCTACGGAGGAAATGTCGCGCTTTTGGTGGGTGTGCTCTTATGATTACGTGACTACTTGAACTCTCCCCTATGTTCTCTGCCGAAAAGGCCAGAGCACAGACGATTAGAGAACGGTGCCTGGCTCGGCTTCAAATCCCAACCAAGAAGGTGAGAGCTCTAGGACTAAGCCTTGAAGGGAGGAGGGACTCCGTAGTGGATGAGCCAATTATATTGTGGCAAAGTTTGAATACATAAGATCACAGTAATCATAAAGCGCTGGTTAAGCGAGAGAGCGCAGGCGAGAGCGTCAAATCGGGCGGTTTAAAGGGCTGAGTTCAAGTTGTCCGTAGACCGTAAAAGCGTCATTATGGCGCCGATTCGTCATTTGAAGCGCACAGGCCGTAATTACCACGTCCTGCTGTGGCCGGACAACTCGTCCGCGCAACACATTCTGTTCCGTTCATCTTGCCTTGGCATCAGGCCAACGAAGCTACCCACTCTTTTTTTAGATCTTTGGGACTCAGCGAGATTTTTGAGGGCCAAATTATCACATCGATCAATTGCTGAAGTCTAGCAGCTGTGTGATACGGACGAGTTGTCCTGGATACTGTGCGCTCTAATGCCAATGGGATCGCGCCATATGACCGCCTCCCCTTTTGGTTTTGGCCGAATTAAAGTGAAAACAAAATGCTTCACCATGATTACGTGATCCGCTTACAATAACATCTTTGATATGATCAGTTCGTAATGTAGTACAATCGGCGGTATAAATACCGTTCATTGTTCGGTGGTATTCACTCTGCTGTTGCTACTGACGTTACTAGGTGAGCTAGCTGTTTGCTCCCCAGGATAGCCTCCAGTGATCGACAGTGTTTCAGTTGAACACGATGCAGGCTGGTGCCAAGGCACCCTCGAGTTCCAAGGGTCCAGCATCTGCTCCAAATCAGAAGGGTAAAGACGCGGCGGAGACGACGGCTAAAGGCCAGGCCAATGAGAAGAAAGAGTCCAAAGATTCCAAGGAGTCTAAGGACAGCAAGGAATCATCAAAAGAAGCTGATAAAAAGAATAATGACAGATCAAAGGAGGACAAAGCCAAACCTGCACCACAGAAACCCGGCGATACTAGAGAGGTACAGTTTGGTGTGGAGGCTGCAAAAAGTGTACTCATCGAACCAACATGATATTCTTTAGGAGTTGAGTAGTATACAGTCAACCGATGGGAAGAAACCTACCATTGCATCTGGCCCTCCTGGCGCTCCTGGCCCCAATGGCGGTGCGATTATACCTGATCCTGCTGGGACGTCACCTGCTGAGCAAGCGGTATGTTAGATGTTTACGTTCAGGTGAACCGTGGGTATACAAAAGTAGAAGCCCAGCTCCTAGCCCAGCCTAACCCAGCGGATTGCGCTGTCGAAGTCAGGGAGAAGTTTGGATCACCGCAAATCCTGTTCGATCAGTTAAAAATGGGAATGCTCTCAATCACTAGTGTGAAGTTATCACTATATTCTCAATTCGAGTTCTGTACAAATTGTGAATATCGATTTTGATACGATGTTGGCTATGCATTGAACTGCGAAAGTCTACGGGGTCGCCTTAAGAAGTTCTTAGTTTGGGTGATTGTGCAGTCCGAGGGGAGAGCGTACTAAGGGATCGGGCGCTCACATCCTTGGGAGGGAAACAACATTCAAAACAGGGCCAAAAACCGCTGGTAGATGACATTGGGACTAAGCCTAAGAGAGAGAGAGGAGAAGGCTAGGGGGAACAAAAATTGCTGACATGCTCTCCCAGAATCCCCTCCATCCCTAAGCTTAGTCCCAGGTACTGCGAGTGGGTCATTCACTTGAATGC